CTAAAAGGAAAGAAAAGTAGAAGAGTTGGCTGCACTTTGGGATTCTTAATTACTACTTGGCTTGCAAAACACCAGATTAAGGCTCTCTGATGCACACATTCTTATACACTAGGTCAGTTACCTTCTGATTAACTTTGAAAGACCTTCCTGGTTCCTCTTCCCTTAATCTTTTTTTCTCATTCGGCACATGATAAGAGATATTCAGGTGGGAGGGCTCAGGTTCTTGTAAATCTGGTCCTCAAATTTTATTGGGGATGTAAAAAACCTTCAATATCTTTTCATCTTCACAACCACTAAGGGTACTTGAACAATAGTAGAGACTATCAGAGTAACATAAAGGTTCCAAATGTCCAATTGCCAGCAGAAGAGCTATAACTCTACCAACTAAAAAGAGAAGCATATTAAAAAGGATGTAAATTAGGGTAAGTTTAAAATAGATCATCTGGACTCTACCATAATAAATTTATAGTTGATTTACTCAAAACCACTAGTCTTTTAAATGTTAATAATGTTATCTATTAGTAGAATCATCTCTCCAATGGTCATTCCATGCCAGTCTTTCTGACACTATAGCGTGTTGCAGTAGCTGTACTAGGAGACACAACATTGGCTTATCCAACCCTGTTTGCTGCCTTCTGCTGCTCTTCTAATCCAAATGCTTTACCTGCATGGCATATGAAACAATGAGCAGTACTTGCTTTATGCCATGGTCATATAGATTGTGGAGTGGCCTCTTTACTAAGAGAGTAAAGAGACTGTAGAGCTAAAGCTTAAAGCTCTTAACCATTTCCTACTTTCATTGGAAAGATGAGTGAGAAGAAGGTAATCAGAGAAAAGGAGGAAAGGAAGTTACAAATACTGAACACCTTAATCCCCAAACCGACTCTATAAAATAGGTGCTATTATTATCCTATTGTACAGGCTTTTGAAAGGTTAGTAAGTTAACTAAGAGCACTGAGTTAGTAAATGGGAACACCTTGAACTCTGAACTTTCTGGCTCCAAATACCATTCCTGTAAATGCATGCCTCTCAGAGAACATTTTTCTTCAGTGAAAATCCACCCTTAGGTTCCAATCTTCCATGTTATTTTATTTCTAAATGTCTCCATGTATCTGGCAAGAATGAAAGGGTGGGAATCAGCTCATTCCCCATTTTTCATTGACCTTTTAATTATATTTATTGGGATGACATTGGTTAATAGGATCATATAGGTTTCAAGTGTACAAAATTTATATAGTGCACTGTATGCCCACTACCCAAGTCAAACCATTATTCACTTGTTGACTGCTCTTACAATTTCACCCAAATCAATAGGCTTACCTCCTCCCACAATAGGTTCCCACTGTCCAACAAGTCCCAAATAGGCTGAGGCTCCTTTTCTTAACATTAATAAATAAGTAATTAGAAACCCAGGTAGGTTTATGCTTTTATCAAACCTACTGGAATAATTTGCTTCATAAAATTATTCAGTGGACAAGAATAATTTTAGTTTAAAAATTTAAGTCTATTGTTCTTTATTATACAGTTGTTACATTACTATTATAATAAGGTAAGAATAGCCTTAGTAGCTTTAATAAATAAAATAAAATAACCAACCAAACATTTAGTTTTATAATATTGCTAAACAAATAAAATTTTAATCAAAATGTTTTCAATAACTATATAGTGTGATTTTTCTAAAAAAAAAAAATAAAATAAATAAGAATGCCTATCTCTTTCTGAGTTGGCAAACAAGTATTTATATATATATTTTATTTATTTATTTATTTTTTACAGAGAGGAAAGGAGAGAGATAGAGAACTAGAAAAGTCAATGAGAGAGAAACATCGACCAGCTGCCTTTTGCATACCCCCTACCGGGGATGTGTCTGCAACCCGGGACCTTTCAGTCCGCAGACCAACGCTCTACCACTGAGCCAAACCGGTTTCGGCAGCAAACAGCTATTTTTATCATAATTGTCATGGCAGTAGAGATAAAATATATGAACTCTGCAGCTAAAATGTAAGGATTTTAAATTCAATTCTTCCTATTCTTTAGAAGAAAGAAAAATTACTTGATGTCTCTGAATTTCAGTTAAATAAGATAATATTTAGAACAGTGTCTGGTATGCACCCAATAAGTTTTAGCTGTTATTACCCCATTTGGAATATTTGCTACAAGCAATTTCTTTAATTTATTTGAAGATTCTTGTAAAATGAGAACACCTAATCCAAAAATTCCCCCAAATTTAATGAAATTTTAATTCTAAATTTAACAATTAATGAAGATGATATAATGGTACACTTTGGAGATATTTAATTAAACATTTATTGTTTCAATTTTATAGCTTTCTTTTAGTATTCTGAACCCATTATTTTTTTCTTTCTGCTTTCAAATATTTTTATTGGCTCTTGACAAACTCATAGGCCTTAAGCACTGTGTCTACAGTGCTCTATGAATAGAATAGCCTTGTATAAGGTGAATGGGGCAGCTCTGAACACTACTCAAGTACTATTCCTTTGCTAGTCTGCTTCCTGGAAAACATTTTTTTTTTCCTCAGCAAGAGTTTGGAAAGTTTTCCAGAAGTTTTCATGAGGTTTCTAAACAGAGATTCAAAGATAGGACAATCAAGGAAAATCCCAGATATCATTGATGAGCCAAAATTCTTAAATTACTTTGGCTTAAATTCAGAGTTTGTACCAAAACCTAAGCCAAAACTAGCCCTGCAATTAGGCATAAATAGAAGGAAGAATTATTTAGTAGAGGGTTGGGACTGGCACTAATCCTATAAGGAATATCCTTTTTCATAAAGTGGAACTGCACCTTGAGAGACAGCTTTAACATGTGGTTTAAATTCCAAAATTTCCAGTCTTAGGTAACCAAAGAAAAAAATTAATGTTTACCTCAATATATAAAATAAACAAAACATTTAATATTTCAAAGGAATGAATTTAAAATATTATTATTCTTAAAAGCTGTAAGAAGAAACATTAAAAATGTCTGCTTTTTTTTTTTTTAAAGCTTAAGGCCATGGTTCTCAAGGTGTGGTATACAAGGCATGATGAGAGCAAAAATATTTCAAAAACTATTAGACTATACCATTTTGACATTTGCATTTTGCCAATTGCATTGCAAAAGCAATGGTGGGTAAAACTTAGCAGAAACCAAGGCAGTGGCAGTAAACTGTATCAATAGAAAGAAAAAAAGAATACAAGGAAATTCCAGTTTAGCTCTAAATACTCTTAATGAAGGAGAAAAAAATTAATTTTCTTAAATCTCAACCCTTCAATATGTCTTCTTAACATTATGTGTGATGTAATATTGAAGTACATACAAAGCACTTCTGTGACTTACTAGTGTATGGTGGATATCTTCAAAAAAGTATTTATCTGAGTTACAAACTAAACTACTGCTTTTTTTCATGAAATATCATTTATATATTTATAGATAGATGATGATAAATAGATAGATGATAGATGATAGATAGATAGATAGATAGATAGATAGATAGATAGATAGATAGATACTTCAGAGGAGAAGGGAGAAAGAGGAAGACATCAATGATGATGGAGAATCAATGATCAGCTGCCTCCTGCACACCCCATCTGGGGATGTATCCTGACCAGGAATTGAACTATAACCTCCTAGTTCACAGGTCAACACTCAACCACTTAGCCACACCAACTAGGCATGAAACATCATTTAAAAATTTTAAAATTGCTGAAACCGGTTTGATTCAATGGATAGAGCGTCGGCCTGCAGACTGAAGGGTCCTAGGTTCGATTGCAGTCAAGGGTATGTACCCAGTGGGGTGTGTGCAGGAGGCAGCTGATCGATGTTTCTCTCCCATCGATGTTTCTAACTCTCTATTCCTCTCCTTTCCTCTCTGTAAAAAATCAATAAAATATATATTTTTAAAATTTTACTTGATTTTGAGAGAGAGAGAGAGAGAGAGAGAAAGAGAGAGAGAGAGAGAGAGAGAGAGAGAGAGAGAGAGAGAGAGAGAGAGAGAGAGAGAGAGAGAGAGAGAGAGAGAGAGAGAGAGAGAGAGAGAAACATCAATTTGTTCTTCAACTTATTAATGCATGCATTGATTTTTGTATGTGTCTTGACTGGGATCAAACCCACAACTTTGACATACCAGGATAATGCTCTAAACAACTGAGCTACTGGCCAGGGCCATGGAATATCATTTTTACTTGAAAGAAAAACTAGAAGCAAACTATAATAATTCATATTTGGGTATTTGGCAAGCATTTTTAGGGAAAAATAGATGGAAGGACCTTAAGGAACACAGCCTACAAGCTTAATTAATTTCAAGCTTTTCAAGCTAAAATTAGAAATTTGAAAAATTTTATCTGCTACCATGAGGATGGCCTCTTTCCAGTACTGAAAGACTATTTTCTTCATATACTTTAACCAAAACAACATTTCACAATAGCTGTAATGCAAGAAGCAGAATCTAAGTGTCTTCAACTAATTCAGGTATTTAAAACATTTGCAAATATATAAACAAAGTCATTCTTATTAATTTCTTATTTTGGAAAATATAATTATTTTGTGTAAACATGTAATATTATTATTATTTTATTAAATTAATATCCTAAGACTCTCTTAGTTTTAATTTCTAATAAGGAATATTAATTGATATAACCAATATAAACAAAAGGTTTGTGGTCTTCAAGTTTTATGAGGGAAAAACAGTTTTGTAACCAAAATTTTTGAGAATTACTAGCATAAGGTTAAATGGAATCTTAGCTAGCAGCTATTGTGACATCAGAATCAGGTCAATAATCACAATATGAAAGAGTCCATGCAGTTGACCATTATTCACAAGCACTGTCCTGAAAGAAGCTAACCAACTATGAGTACCTACCATTGCCCTTCATGTTCTCCATAAGGCATTCCACAATGTTACCAGGAAAGACATGCAACAAATAGTAAGAGAAAGACCATTTAATTCTAACATTGCTTCTTTCTTTGATTCTCATCAGGTCTCCCACCATCTTGGCTCATGAAAGATGTACAAACATCAAGCCAAAAGAGTAAAAGCAGCTGCTGGGAATATGTGTCCTTTAAATCTCTCCAAGATCAGACAATCTCTTAAAAATGTTTACAATAAATTTAATAACCAGCAACCAGATTCAACTAGAAATCCAACTATAACTTCCTATGGTTGTGATCAAGATGACAGTACTGATGAAGACATGAGTGTTATAGGAATGCTCCAAGATATTAAAACTGCCCAAATTGACCTCCTCAGGAAAATGACTGACATTGTCAGTGCAATATCAAAATTCCAGGAAAAGATTGACTTTCATCAGAAGCAGATGGAGGTACTAGAAACCAGAATAAATGTTAATGAAGACAAGCAATGCACAACAACTAAAGATATCTTCTCTATGAAAGAAAACATTGATGCTTTAAAGGAGAAGATAACAGAGCTGGAAAACCAGCATTCTTCTTCCAGCATATATTGTTCAGAAGTTCTAGAAGGAGAAAAGGGTAAAGAGGTCATGGATCTACTTCACAAACTCATTCAACCACAAACTTTGGAGAACACATTGGCTTCTACAGAGTCTGAAATCTCTTCAGCAGAACCAGAGAAAGTGCCTAGTTATTCTGATCCCACTGATCATCTTGAGGAAAAAACAATTTCTCCCAAAATTAAAATTCTGAAACAAAGTAATCATCAAAATGCATTAAAAGGCTTTAAAAGGGCAAAGTCAAGCATTTATATTTACCCAGACATTAGTACATGGATCAAACTAACTTTTGTCCCTGGAGGAAAGTGGAGATTTTTTCTCAATGCCACCAAGTTAGAAGAATTCACCCAGTGGCTTCTTTCTAGAGCAACCATCCCTCCTGAAGAACCACAGCTCATAACCCAGAGACACTGTCCACTCACTGGACCTATTGTGAGCTTGACCACAATCTGTCTCTCTGTTTTCAACTATATTTACTGTCTCTTTGGTTTTTTAAAGGAAGAAATAACTCAACTATAGATGTAACCTCATGGCTGTAAGCATTCACACATCTTTGTGGTTGCTGTGAATTCCTTGCTCACATTTCTATATGTCTACAGTAAGTTAAGGCATATCATCCCACTGGACAACTATGGCGCATTTTCTGTCAATGTTCTTGTTTTCTCATAGGCAAAATTCATGAGGCTCATCAGTGCCATTTCTTAGATAATGAAGCAAAAATAAAGGGGTCATCACCTAACTTAGTTAATGAACTCTACCAATATAGTCTGATGCTGTTAAGTTACAAATATTCATGGTAAATATACTACATTAAGTTATTCCCAGTTAATAATTTGAAATGGGGCTTTCTTTGGCAATAAGCTAAGAACAACCTAGTTTCAATTAAGAAAAAGGTACTAAGGCAGGTACGAAGGAAATTAAGGGAGAGATATTATGAAAAGACACAATATTGTCTAATATCAGTACTTTTTTATTTACAAGTGCATTTTACTTAATCCTTCCTTACAAATGTGTACACGAATAATTTTTAAATATGTCTCTATGTGATAGGTGCAGCATGGAGGGTTCTATCACATACCTACTTAACACCAGGCTATATGTTAAATGGGTTTGTTTTAAACCCATTTAAAACATGCTAACAAAGTCAAGTATCATCTTGGAAAAGGCACCAGCAATCTATGTATTTAGTCACTTTCAGAAAAATCCATAAAGAACAGCCAGATTTCTAGTTCAGCACCTTGGGTGTGGTCCTTACATCAGAGATTAATAGGGGAGATAGGCCACGATACAGGCAAACAGATCACAGGTGGATTCCAGAAGAGTGAAAAGTGACTCAACTGGTATTTTCTGGGTCATCTGAGCTTCTGTATATTTACACATGCTTTCACCTTACATGACTACTTAGCACTTGCTTATTGTTTCAACAGACACAAATAATTTAGGGAAAGAGCATAGGGCTGAGAATCAGAAGATCTTTGTTCTGAACAGTTTTAAATCCTAGACCTACAAGCTTTATTAGTTCATCTCAACCAGGTATGTTTTGTCATCTGTAAAAAAAAAAAAAGAATCATTCTATTAACTTAGTACATACTTCTTCAGTGTTCAGTAATAGCAAAGGGTCATGGAGAATAAAAGAAAAAGTAGAGGATTTTCCCTGTATTGTAGACACACAACACTGAATAGGATAAATAGAATGTGTGCACCCATAACTCTAATGCATGAGAGATGGGGATGGGCAACAAAGAGCAATATAAGAAGTGTTCCAAGTATCAGGGGGGTGGGAAAGGGTGATGACTCTTGTAGTAAGGAAGGAGGCAAGGAGAGGAGAATGTGGTGAGGGCAGTGTACCAGGCAGAAGGAAAACCGAACAAGAGCACAGCAATGGAACCTGGAGGGAATGTGGGAAATCAAAGCCACCAAGTATTTTACAAACATAAAGTACTGACAGGCTATTATGTCAACCCTTTTATGGGTCTCATATTTCTCTTCAGTGATCCCCATCATGTTCATTTTAAGCTGGCTTTTATCTGAATAAGAAAGTTAGAGGAGGAGAAGGTGAGAAGAACACCACACTATTTACTCAGTCACAAAATTTTCCTGAAGATGAAGGTCCTTTTAGTTTACCCAAGATTCCTGGGAGGAAAGAGGATTTTGCTTTTGAGTTGATTATTTATTATCACCACCTAGATGAGCTCTCAACAACTCATTAAAATTAGAACTCAAGCCCAGCTGGTGTGGCTCTAGTGATTGAGCATTGACCCAGGAACCAAGAGGTCACTGGTTTGATTCCAGGTCAGGCACAAGTCTGGGTTGCAGGCTCAATGGTACAATGAGGGTACAATGTAGAAGGCAGTCAATCAGTGATGTTTCTCTCTCATCAATATTTATATCTATCTACCCATCTCCCTTACGCTCTCTCTCTAAAATTTAATAAAGGAAAAAATAAGTAAAAATTAAATTAGAACTCAACTTGTAACTACATGTGAGAAAATAATTTTTCACCCATCCTTGCTTTCAAATTCTCCTGCCTCATATCCCCTGACTCAGGGTAGTCTAATCACCACCACCAGTTCTCTGTACTCAGCATACAAAAATATGTGTTTGCCTTGTCCTTGTGTCCCCCTCCTCTTTTTCAGGTCTCTCATCATCCTTAGAATGAGAAGCTCACCCTCCCTGTCCCCATTTCCCATTTCCTCCCTGGATTATATCTTCCATAATAATTCTCTCTCTCTGGTCCTCTTACAATCACTCTGGTGGATCTTTCTCAGTTTCTTAGATGACTCCTCTGCCACTAATTATTCTCTTAAAATATTCATGGTTCACTTTAATGACTCTTAAGTCAAGGGACTATTAACCCAGACTCTTTGGGTACCTCCTGAGCTCCTATCCCAAGTGACTATTTATCTTCTCTCCGTGATGTCTACAGTAGTTTGAAACTCCTTATTCTTCAATTAACCTTAGAAACTCTTCCTCTGACTCAAACTCATTTCTTTTCCATCATTCCTCTTGCTAATGACATCACAGTGCAAGTTATCTATATCCCCACACTGGGAATTACTCTCAGCTTTTTATCTCTCTCAATTTGTATATCAATCATCAAATCTTTTCTTGTTTATCTTCCAACAATTCAAGGGATCTGTTTCTCTGTTCTCACTTCTACTATTTTGGTTTAAGCCTTATTAATCTCTCTCTCTTTTTTTTTTTAAGGTTGTCATGCATGGCCTTTATTATGTTCAGGTACTTTCCTGCTATACCAATTTTATTTAATATTTTTTCTTTATTGATTAAGGTATTACATATGTGTTCTTATCCCCTCATTGCCCTCCCCCCATTCATGCTCTCACCCGCCTGTTGTCTGTGTCCATTGATTAGGCTTATATGCATGTATGCAAATCCTTTGGTTGATCTCTCCTCTTTACCCCCACCCTCCTCTACCTTTCCTCTGAGGTTTAAATGAAAAGTTTTTCTGCTTGATATCCCAACCTCCAGAATGTTCATAATCCAAGTCTTAAAAAGTGATTTTTTTTTCCTCTGGTCAGTGTTGTTCAGTGGTTAGAGTATTGGCCCAAGCACTGAAGGGTCACAGGTTTGATATCCAGTAAGGGGACGTACTTGGGTTGCAGGTTCCATCCCCAGTCCCGGCCTGGGCATCTGAGAGAAGCAACCAATTGATGTGTCTCTCTCACATCAATGTTTCTCTCTCTCTCTCTCTCTCTCTCTCTCTCTCTCTCTCTCTCTCTCTCTCTCTCTCTCTCTCTCTACCTTTCCTTCTCTCTCTCCTCCCCTCACCCCATCCCACATCCTTCTCTTCTACTCTCTCTAAAAATTAATGGAAAAAAATATCCTCAGATCAGGATTAACAACTACAAAAAAAGGTGAATTGAGAGGGAAAAAAAAGTTTGAAAATGTTTTCATTGATCCTCATGTAAAGCAAAATAAAATCAAAATTTCTTAACAGAGCCTACACAATCCTTCCATCCTGCATTTTCACCTTCAGAAAGTAGAGTTCCATAGTGGTAGAGCACAATGGCTTTGGCATCAGGCTGGCCTGATTTAAGGCTGGCTCTGTCACTTACTAATTGTATAACTTTGGAATTAAGCCAAAGCTTACATTCCCAAGGCCTTGGTGTCCTTATTCCTAAAATAAGAATTATAATCATGGGCTATTGCCAGTAATAATGAAGATTATTATGTGAACTTCTAAGCAATCTAATTGATGTATAGTTAGTGTGAAATAAATGATATTATTATTATTTCTTCCCATTATTACTCATTTTCCTATGATAACTTTTCATAAAAATCATCATCTAGCCACAGTAAATTCCTTGCAGATTTTTTTCAAATCTTGTATCTTTATATTTGCTGTTTCTACTGCCTTCAATGCCCTTCTTTTATCTGGCTAATGAGTAATAATTGGTCATTTGAGATTCAATTCAATTTTTTTTTTTTTAGACACCTCCCCTAATCCTTATCCTCTACCAATCTCTCTGAGAAAGAACTGGGGACTTCCTTAACAACCCCACCAATGAGAGAGAATAACATTTATTTCATCACATTATTACTCACAAAACTTTGAGCTTTGTTATGATAACGACAGAAACTGACCTGTTTATCTTGAATAACTAAACCAGTTTATTAGTAGGTTTTCAGTAATTGTTTTTAAATTAAAAGACAGAAAATAAAACACTATGCTGCTCTACAAAGAAAATTAAGTATAAATATAATTAGATGAATGCTTATAATATATATAAATATGGATACCATTGTGCATCTGTCAAAATGTCTTAAACCATTGTTGTGGTTGTTTTTAAACTCATTATTGGGGAGGTGGAATTCAGCCGTGAAAATAGTAAGGACATTCAAAAAACACCAGACTTTAGAACAGCTATTTACTGAACATTTATTATGTATCAGGAACTGTGCTAGGAGCTGGGTGTACAATGGTAAACTTTATAAATATGTGATTTTGGCAAAGTCCTTGATCCTTATATTAGTTTTCTCAACTCTAAATTGAGAACAATTTATGTCACAAGACTGTTGTGTTAATCAAATGAGACAATGTGTATAACCTTCCCAGAACAGCCCATGACTTAGTTGACACTTAACAAATGGTAGTCATTTCCTTCTTCTCTTGGCTAGGTATTTAAGGGGGTAGGAGATCAACAGAACAAAGTCCCTGCCTCAAGGAGCTTACATTCAGAAGCCTCCCTCCCTTTCCCTGCTGTAAAGAACTTCAGACAAATAATTAACCAAGTGAAAGACTAAATACAAAAACTCCAAAACAACTTTTGATTCCCTCAACCCAATATAGCGTGGTAAGAATAAGACCAGGGCCGAGACCGGTTTGGCTCAATGGATAGAGCGTCGGCTTGGGGACTGAAGGGACCCGGGTTCGATTCCGGTCAAGGGCATGTACCTTGGTTGCGGGCATATCCCCAGTAGGGGGTTTGCAAGAGGCAGCTGATCGATGACTCTCTCTCATCGATGTTTCTAGCTTTCTATCTCTCTCCCTTCCTCTC